TCAGTTTTTTATTTTATTTTTCAAACTTCAAAAGTTCAATTTTTTCAATGTAAATCTGCTTAATTGCTTCTTCCATTTCATTTAATCTACTGAGAAAACTCGAAATTATTTGTCGAGCACAGGCACAAAGAGGAGGCTCCGCCTATCCAAAATACTTGCATCATACTCCTTATTCCAACAAAATAATAATAATAATAATAATAATAATAATAATAATAATAATAATAATAATAATAATAATAATAATAATAATAATAATAATAATAATAATAATATTAGAAAACATTTACTCAACCAAAATATCGAATACTATACAACATTCATTCCAATGGAGGCACGAGAAGGATCTTCTTCCACAATTAAGAGTTTTCCACGAAGTACGGATTTAAGCTTTCGATCTACAATAGCAATATGGATACTCAGTGCTGTCAGATATCTCTTTCTAGGTTTAGTCTTGAGTCGAATTTCTTCATGCTTATACCGAACAAGACTGGAATTTTTGATTATTTGGATTTTTTTCTCGATTTCGCCCGGTTTTTCCCTTCTTTTTATGTGGAAGAATAAGATAAAACTGCGTGAAAGATTTATTTATAAGTTATTGTGCTAAGTCGATTATTGGGCCACGTGTAGTCCACGCCAACATATCATGAGGTATCACCCGAAATTCCTTAAGTTTGGTATGACTTGGGTAATAAGCCCAAGATTTTAAAACTTGTTGACTACTATTACCAAATCGTAAAGATGGTGACTAGTATAGCCAACTCGTAAAAGATACTGGTTATATTATATAATTAAGTTTGTAAATAAAACAGAATGAATGATGAAAACGTAAGAAGAACAGAAAATACATGAAAAATCTATAAGATTAATACTAAAAAATTTGTGGGAAGAGAAAATGTAGCACGAATGTTCATAAGTTATAGTTAAAAGAAAAATATATCAATTCATCCTTATTATCATAAAAATTTGAGAAATTATTATTTTTCGAGAAGCCTCCTATACACAAATAAATTTTACCATGATCTTGTATAATATACTTGTATTATTATTTAAATTAAAACTTTTATTTTATATTTATTTTTGAAAATTTATAAATTTTAAGTTTAACATCCATATATAAAATGAGGACGATATTATTTACAAATAAAACACAGGGGGAAAAAATACACGAGGACTGAATTAGTTTAAAAATGAGGAAGATGCTACGGTCTCGTTACGGAACCATTTTGTCGAACCGGTTCGTAAGTGCAACGATAATATTTCCCTAAAAATAATTTGTCCCAAATTTTGGCGCCAGCAGAGAGTCAGACTCCCGAATTTAGGTCTTTTTTCTTTTATCAACAACCAAGAAAGCACCCAATAA